GCTGCTGCTGCTGCAACCGAACCTGCAGTCAATTAAAGCATTACGGAACTGAGGTTAATATGACAATAAGACAAAGGGAAAGGGTGCTGTTATATTTAGTAAATTGCATGGCTTTTCTCTTCCAAGTCTTTTTTTTCTTTGGGGGTGGCAGGGTGGGGCAGCTTATTTTCCAAATTGACAATAATTTTTAGCCGCCTCATTAATATCATGTTGAACAATATAACCACTTTAAGCCATCTTTTCTATAACCTGACCTTAGATTTTGTAGTCCATTAATATAAGATTGATAGGAGTCTAGTAAGTAAAACCTGTGGCCCTGCAACAAGAAACCGATCGAGGAAAGAGGAGGAATACGGACTTTGAATGGGCATGAGGCCATGCTGCTGTTGTAATGACTGAAAATAAGGCACTTGCGATTTTGACAATGGTTCCAATTTACTTTCACCTTTATTAAGACTTTCGTTGACCTTTAATTCACTACCTCCAGTTGACAAGGACAAGAAGTTGAAACTCTGCAGAATATGAATAGTCATCAGGCATGAGGAAGATGGGGGGCATAGAAAGACAACATTATTAAAATTATCCGCTGCTTACTTGCTTTTGAGGAGACAGAGATATGTCATGATAAAGGCCATGATGAAGAATACCATTCTTAGTTTCACGTGAAGCACTCGTAGTAGCAGAATGAACTGCTCCGGTAGCAGAACTATTTCCACTTTTCGTCCAATTCAAGTTTTGGGCTTCCATTAGAACTCCACATTTTGTTCCATGGTGTACTCTCATTTGATGAGATTCATAAAGCTCGTGTTCTTTGTCCACCTTTCTTTTAGACACTTCTAAGCTACGGATAAGATGACTTATGTGAACATGAGCTGCACACTTCTTCCATGCCTTTTTATGAGTAACAATATCGGAAATCTGCATCGTTAATTATTGGAAATAACCAATGGGCGTTTTGAGTGGATCAGTGCATCGGCTAGGATGAAAAACTTTGCCATTATATAGGTAAATCTTGCAAAACAGCAGTATAAGTAATAAGCATAAATTTGTAATTCATTACCTTTCCACCAGAAAAACAACCTTCCATCAAATCCTGTTTCGGTGCACCAATAGCAGAATTCAGCCAATCTGGAGCTTTAGCAGCAGAAGACCTTCAGAAGAAAAATACATCATATCAAATGTATTTGACGATATAAGAAGCTCAAAATGGAAATGGAATAAAAGAATTTTACTGCAAATAAGAAGCACTAATCCCAGCAGAAGCAGTCGAAGACAACCCTGGCCACAATGCTGGACCTTCTGATAAAACAACCAAAGATATCCACTTGTCAGTCAACTGATTAAATACTTATGCGTACACAAAAATTTAAAAAAAAATCACTGCTAGTAACAAGCACATTTCGCCCTCGACCATACCAGTTTCTTTTTGGTACTTGATTAAATGTTGTTCTTTCTTACAATAAATGCCTCCGGCCTGAAATGTAAGCCCGTATATTATCTATCACTAGCTTCTGAGACAAGAATTTTACAGCAAATTGTAAAAGTTGAAATGACTACCGTCTGAAATTCCACATCTGATTTCCTCCCGATATGCGAAATCTGTGGTTGTATGGGCACATTTAATCTGCAATAATTAGATGAGAAAACATTTAAATAAAATATTAAAGATTTCAAGATGATAGACTAGACAGATTCCAGAATGCAACTGAAAAACTACGCACCCCATTTCCAGAGACAATTCAGAGTCGTGTGATGCAACTTTGCTGCCATTTTCACTCTTAACCACCATCCTATGCACGGCTTGCAGATTTATTTTTCCAGCAGTGCTTTGACTAGCAACCAAGAACTTAGCACTCTGAGGAAAATCAGACTGTTCTTGACCAATTGTTTCGTGTAAAGAACTGGTTCTTTTACACCCCGTAGGTGATGTTTGTCCAGCATCCTGAGTAGTTCCCGAGACTAAAATACATGACCCAAAAAATTAAAAGATTAAATTAGATTACATAAATTAATATTGGCTACAAAGAGTGCTGTGAGGGAGAGAATTAATAACCTTCAATAGTAACATTAGCACAATGACTCTCCTCTTGGTCCTGCAAAACCGTGGAGTTTTCTGGAAAAGATTCACTGTCTAGTTCACTCTTGGCATTAGAGCCATTATCAGGGAACATTCCAGCCAAGGCATAGAGAGTCTCCACAACCTCTTCCTCATCTTTCGTAATGGGCCCGGGTAAAGCTTGCCTCGTGGACCAGCCCGGGCTTCTTTGTTTCTAGGAAAAGCAAAAGCACAAGTAAAGGTGAAATTGAAATAACTAGAAAACGAAGCAAAAGGTTAAGTTTTGAACCACAAAAGACGTCCTGCAACACTCACTTTAGATTTCTTTATGCCCTCTTTTTGAGGAGATTCCATTCCATTCATCCTATGGTTCACCTTTTCTGAATCACCAAACACGGATTCGCGTCCTCGTTTCTTCACAGCTGTAATTTCAACAGAGACAAAATTCCCCACTTTTTAAAATAAATAAATATATAATAAATTAACAATCTTATCAAAAAAAAATCTCAACTACCTCAATGGAAAGATAGCTACAAATCAATTGGAGTGTAGAAATATCTCCCAATAATTTATTAAAAAATTATTATTCTTTTCAGAAAGTACCACACACTGTTGAATTAGTACACTGTGGACCTTTAATTTATATTACAGAGCGGAGGGAAAGCCGAGTTCCGTCATTGTTTCAACCGATCGAATTTGGACGGAAAGAGAAACAAAAATAAAATAAATGCGACATCCTTTATTCCAAATCGGAAAATAGGGCACCTGAACGTATCTTCCGAGGAACAGAGGCATGATCAACGCCATTGCAATCCTTGAGAAACTGCCAAATCATCAAACAAAATATTAAAAAAAAAATGGTGAAATGAAAATAGCGCATAGAAGTAGTACCTTTCTGGGAAGCTGAAATTTGTTGGCTGGTTTTGGCGAGTGAGAGACACGGCAACCCATTGATAATGCTTTGGCGACGGCACTCAAACTTTTCACCTTCTCCTTCTTTGATTTCTCCGAAAACTGGAGACTCGCATTCAAACCTACCTCAAACAAAAAGAGAGCGGTAGATATTTATTTTATTTGGAGCGAGAATGAGAAGAATCGAAAAGCGACAAGAAAAAATGAGTGGTAAAATAGATACCCCGAGAAGAAGCAGATTGTTGTTTATTAATGTGTCGTTTGGCGGTTGAGAAAACACCCATGGTTTTGTCCATTTCTTCTCACTTGATCAATTCACCGCCTTTCGTTTCTTTCATCCAAAAACCAAATCAAGCACAGCAATGAGTGGTGTCCACGGAAATAAAAAGGCAAGGAAGAGCAAGAGAGAAAAGTAATTCAGAGAATCAGGTTCTTTCTGAAATAAAGTAGTAACAGATTGAGTTGAGGAAGCCAAAGACCATAGAGATAGAGAGAGTTAAATAAATACTCACGAGAAAAGAAAGGCCACGGAAAGAAAAAAAAAAAGGAAGCCTCCCAAATGTCGTGTCAGTGAGAATTGTATATTTTCTAGGATAATAATTAGCATTTAATTATTTATTTATTGTCTCTCAAAATAGATTTATTCTTCCTTTTTCAAATAATCCAAATCCCGCAATTAATTAACATAATAAAAATCAAATCAAAATGTACTTTGGTGCTGGAGAGTGCCATGGAATCACTGTGGCCAGGAAAAGATTCGTAAAGTCAATCAGTTTAATTATAAAGTTTTGAGTTTTGTTTTGGTTTGTTCGTGCATTCCTTCACACACATGATGGGACATGCACATACATAAGGCAGCACAATTATCCGTTTTTTAATTTCTTTTTAATTAAAAAAGTAAAAAAAATTGCGTATGATTTAGTTTGAGAATGAAAGGAGATAAGCATGCATCTCTCCGTGCAGTGCGGCATGGGAAGCTTGTTGTTATTGCATGTTATTCTTGTCTTTCCACCGGTTCAGCTCTCACTCTATCTTGTGCGAGCGAGTGTGTGAGAAACACGTGCCAGTTTAGGGTCAGGTGGATGTTATGAAAAGCCATGCACGTGCAGGATGTGAGAGATTGGAATTGGAGCCAAACGCAGTCTTCACCTTTGAAATTCGAAGTTGAAACGCCATTTATCATTATTTCATTTAGATCATGTTTCCTGCATGACTGCCACATCTCTTTCTTTTTCATTTTTCTAATCCAATGCTAATTTCTGCTTCCATTCTGCATACTCCACTTACTAATAGTATTAAGTTTATATTGCGATAAGCATAAGCTGTTTTAGCATTAATTGATTTTCATAAATTGTTAGGATTAATTATGTTGTTAGTCTTTTGTAAATATTTTTTATTTTCAAATTTTAAAATTTATATTTGTAGTTATTATATTTATAAAATATATATATATATATATATATTATTTTAGTTTCTTAAATTTAAAATTTATCTTTTTGTCCCTTAAATTTAAAATATGTTTTTTTAGCCTTAAAAAAATTATTTTAATCTTTATATTTAAATGTCATTAATTAATTGACTCACAAATGCTTGTCATTGTTAATAAAAAACTTTATATTAAACCAAATAATACTACAAAATAATCATAATTTTATGTTATTACTAATACTAAAAAACTATCTTGATGGGTCATTATCAATAATATTATTACTAGTATCATTGATACCAAAATTATCATATTAAGTCAACTAATACTACAAAATTATCTTAATTAATCTATCACTATTAGTTATGCTATAAGTAGTCATAAGAGACTAAAATATTAATTTTTATATTTTGAAGACTAACAACAAATTTTAAATTTGAGGGATCAGAAAAATATATACAAAAATTAAAATAATATTTTTTTAAAATTATAAAAATTAAAAACATAAATTTTAATTTTAAAATATCAAAATAATAATTGTTAAATTTAGAGAATTAAAAACATAATAATTTTTTTATTTTTACATGTCACATCATTTACATGTCAACATGTATGATCATAATTACAACTTTATTAGCGTTAATTATATCAATCTCTTTGCCATATATAACATGTCTCTAAGTCTTTATAAATGTTAATTTGTTTTAAGAAAAATAATCATCAGTTTGTAGATACATATTAAATTTTGTAAAATAGTTTTAACTCCTTAATAATATTGTGCACAAAATCTTCCAAGATTATGCACCATATCAAGTTGGTCCATCATATTATGTTTTTTAGTTATGTTAGTAAATAGACATCATAAATTTTAATTTTATTATAATTTATCCTTAAATTTCATCATATATTAGAGGAATCTGTTTATTCTATATTTTTTTTAAATAATTCATGTTCTACATATATCAAATCATAAATATCCAACCGTTAAAATTAAAATACTTAATGCATAGATAAGTCTACAAACTTAAAAAAAAATAAAAATTATTTGATACTTTGTTTCATTATTTCAAATTAACATATAATCATAAAATCATTTTATACATTAATTTGAATTAATGAAACGAAGTATTAAATGATTTTTCAAAATTTTTAGAAATTTATAGATTTGATCTATGTATTAAGAACTTTAAATTCAACGGTTGAATCATTAAAATTTGATATAAAATAAGAGTTATTAAATGAAGTAAGTTTAGATAGATTTACTCTTAGATACACACACACAATAGTATTATGACGCATTTTTGTGAGAGAATATTTATAAAGGAACTTAATCCGTTACAAAATCTGTCACTAATTTTATTTTTTTATTCAGTGACAGATTAAATTTTATCTCTAAAAACTCCGTCACAAAATCCGTCACTAATTTTTTTTTTATTCAGTGAGGGATTTTGTCACGGATTAAATTTTTTCTCTAAAAATCCATCACAAAATCCGTCACAAATTTTATTTTTTTATTTAGTGACGGATTTTGTGACGGATTTTTTAGAGACAAAATTTAATCTTTCACAAAATCCGTCACAAACTTCAATAAATGGTAGTCCGTGACAAATTAAAATTTGCTCACAAAATTCGTCACTGTTAGTGACGATATTTTTTCGTCACAAAAATTCGTCACAAATATTAATTTTTCTAGTAGTGGTTCCTTTTTTATTTTAATTTAATTAAATGAACAAATAACATGGCACTATTAACAGATCTGATTGGTTGCCAGTGTAAAAAAACTTTACACTGGCAGTGTATAGGTGATTAACTTTTCCTACAATGTGTTCTAAACATCCCTATTTATATTCAAAATTAGGTCAAATTTTAAGTACGATCGTACATCTTCGCAAGCATGGTCGTGCTCAACAATGTGAGTGTGTTTCATCAAAATAGGAAGCACGAGCGTGTTTTCTCGTCTAGGGGCTGCTTTAATATAAGAAAGACCATTCATGTTGGCAAGTATGGTTGTGCTTTATAACATGGCCATGCTTCCACTTGAAGTACGACCGTGCATGAGATAAGCACGATCGTGCATGACTTTAATCTTAGATTTGTTCCATTTTACTCGTTAATTGCATTGATTTTATCCCTTTTATATTTTTCTTGTTTGTTGCACACTTAATAAAAGAAGTGAAGTATTGTCAAAGACTTAACATTACATTAAGACAAAATAACAATGAATATTAGGTTATTATGTATCATTTGGATGATTCAACAATTAGCTATTACTCTAGGCCATTGAGATGAGTGTCAACTTGAGTTCAAAGTTGTTGGCATACATCGTAGGTTGACAGATGTTGTCAATTACCTCAATGTTAGGTAAAAAGTACTCCTCCATGTTATGTTATTGTTCCTCAAACATTATTGTCCTACTTTGTGTCTCCTTTCTCAATATGTGAGCTACTTTTTCAATCTCAAAACTAAAAAACAAGTTAGTCGGAGTGGGTTAGCATAAAATGTAGGAGAATAAGAATAGTTTAACAACAAAAAGTTTAAATTAAAAAATATAAGAGAGAGAATTTTCAAATCTACCAAAACTCTTTTCAATCTATAATTCTTGGAACTCAATTCTCGGCAATGATGCTAGAAACTTGCTGCATATAAAACACGCTTAAAGGCAAACATACTTTATCACGATAGTAACAATGCACAAAGTTCAGATATTGAACTCAAAGGACTAGGTTCAAACAATTATCAACTTAATCACAAGTTTTAACAATTTGAAGGAATAAATTTGATTATATGAACGTGACAAAATTTTGCAATTTAGAAATTAAAGTAGAAAATAGGTTATCAAAATTCAAAATTTAATAATTATAGATGTAACAACCCAAATTCTTATTGGGCCGTGGGCCCAATTCGTTTCCTGGAACGGGCCATTTTGAAAGTGAAACGGGCCGTTCCGGAATAAAGAATTTGCCTAAAAACGTAGTTGAGAACGGGCTGTTCCGGTTGGAGAACGGGCCGTTCTGGTTTGGAGAACGGGCCATTCTCGACCTTAGTGTTATTCCATCAGTAGCTTCCTCTTCCCTAATACAAGCCCTCATCATTAATAGCTCCATTTGTTGCCTGTACTGTTCTACAGACATGTCTCTTTGTTGGAGCCTTTGGAGCTTATTCATAAGCTCCCTCCCATAGTAGGTGGGAATGTGCCTCCTCCTCATTGCACTTTTAAGATCATTCCAATATTGAATTGGAGGATCATTGTGGAGGCGTCTCTCTCTCTCTAGGGCTGTCCACCAATACATGGCATGCCCTTGGAAGCTAAGGGCAGCCAAAGGTACTTTCCTCTCTTCACTTACCCTATGGCAAGCAAAGAGTTGCTCAACCTTCATTTCCCAATCTAAATAAGACTCCACATCATCTTTGCCAAAGAATTGTGGGAGGTCAACCTTGACTTCCCTTGGCCTAGTAGTTCTCCTAGGAGTATGTTGGTAGTGATCCCCTTGATTCATGCTTTCATTAGGGGATGTGTATTGGGAATGTTTTTTTTTTTTTAATTTCACAAGTTTTTTTTTAAATATTTTTAATGAATGTCTTAATTTCTTATGCTCAAAATTGATAATTTTTTATTTAATTAAATAAATTTCATAATTTTTTCAGTCTTTTAATGAAATAAAATATTTTTATTTTTATTATTATTTTTAAAAATATTTAACATATTTTCTTTAATTATGCATAATTCTTAAATATGAAAGTTTCATAAATAAAATTTAATATTTTGAGAGAGAATAATTCGTCACAAATATTTTCACAAAATATTTTAACCTATTTGTGACGGAATTTTGAGAGGGAAAAATCCGTCACTAAATTTTTTTTATTTAGTGACGAAATTTGTGACGGATTTTTTAGAGACGAAGTTTATTCCGTCACAAAATCCGTCACAAACATTTTTTTTTGTTTAGTGATGAAATTTGTGACGGATTTTTAGAGACGAAAAATTTTCCGTCACAAAATCCGTCACAAATTTTTTTTTGATTCAGTGACGAAATTTGTGACGG